GCCCCGCATTGGGCTCCCTGCTCGGCAGGAAGCCTGCTTCTCCCTCTCCCACTCCCCCTGCTTCTGTTCCCTCTCTCGCTGTGTCTCTCTCTGTCAAATAAATAAAATCTTTAAAAAAAAAAAAAGTTGGATTTCTCTGGTACTGTTTACCAGTCTAAGTGCAACATCCTACAATATTCCAAACACATGAGATTTGCCTTTGTTTGACTTACGCCAGGCAACTGAGTTCCTCACAAGATCAGTCGTGGCCTCCAGGCCCCTGATGCAACAGCGTAAGCACGCTCATCCTCCAACTGTTTTCCAAAAATGAAGACGGCAGGACTGCAGCCTGATTTCTAAGGCTTTCTCGTAAAGTTTTTTCTTTTAAAAATTCTATCCTTCTGCGTACTCTTATTAAATTTTTGGTGCAGTCCACAGGGGAAAAAAAAAAAGTTCAAAAGGCAAACGTGTCCAGGGAATGGTTTTCTCGTGGTCTTACCACAGTTCAGTTCTGTTTGGAAAGCTGAGTCATTTTTCTGTTCCCACTATCAGGAAAATGATTGCTGTAGTTCTTACCACTCAGGTTAGTACTTTTATTTTTACAGTTTCCTGACTAGAGAGACAGTCTGACTTTATTGATTCAAGAATTTTTTTTTTTTTAAGCTTTACAAAAGTAGCATTTTTGGCATGCTGAAAAATGCCAGTTCCCAAGTTCAGGCAACTGGAAACTAAAGTTAAAAACACAAATTCAGGTCTAGTGTAACAAAAGAGTTTGGGGTAATTATGACTCTAACAAAATCTACATGAATGCACACAAGAGAGTAGTTGCCATTTTCTGTTAACCCTTTGTGGCACAGGAACTTCGACGATTTCAGATCAGACCCCTAAGCTCACGACCCAAACCATTCCCAGTGACTCCAGGTACGATGGTATTAGGCTCGGTATTCCACATGGGTTTAATATTCTTTGAGGGGATTATGTGTATTTAGATTTGTCCTACACGGTTTGGTTTTAATGGGAAATCGATGAGAACATGTAAATAACTCCAGGCAAATATATCCCGGAAACTGAAAGAAAAGAAGACAAAGTGTTCGCTCCCAGTGGGCCTACACAGGCAAGCACCATGACAAGTAACTCTTGTAGAAAGTGGTTCTCAAAGTGGGGTTCCTGGACCAACAGCATCAGCATCAACATCTCTGGGAACCTGGAAGAAATGCAAACTCTCAGGCCCCACCCCAGCCTCACTGAATCAGGATCTGACACATGCTCAAGTTTGAGAACCACTGTCTAGAGAGACCAGATAAATAAGTACATGTAGCCTAAACCAGGGTGTCTCAACCATGGTGTTACTGATATCTGGAGCTGGTAATTCTTTTTGTGAGGTACTTAGCGTCCTGTGCATTATAGGATGCTGAGCAGCATCTCTGGTCTCTACCCACGAGATGCCAGCAATACCCTCCTTTAGTCGTGACAACCAAAATGTCACCAGATACTGCCAAATTGCACTATGGGCCAAAGTCACCCCTCCTTGAGAATCACTGGCCTAGTTTAGAAAAATGGACACTAACTTCAGGTGATCCTCTCATCTTTCACTTTCCTCTCAAAATGCTCTCAAGCCAGTTCTTGCTGCTTTTAGCTTTCATAAAATGAATTAACTTCAGCTGGAGCCTATTTTAAATGTTAAAAGTTACTGTTCTGAGCATTAAAGCAGAAGTTATATAGAAAACGTACAAGCTTTGTTTTAAAAAACAAAACAAAACCAAATCCTGAAAACTAAAAGGAAGGATAACTAAATAATAGCAAAAGGCAGAATCCTAGCATTTTACACTTGCTGCCAGAACAGTCCATTGTTGACGGATACTGCCTGCATTTGGTTTCTCCAAATGTGCAGCAAACCTGGATGCATGGCAGAAAGAACTAGAGCCTCCGAATCAGCCCTGGGTTCAAATCTTAATCCAATCACTTACTAGCTATGAGCCCTTGGGGCGTGACTCAGTATCCTTTGTGCCTCCGTTTCGTAAACCCTCAAAGGCCCACTGCAGTAGGATGCATACACCCACCGTCTGTTCCAAACACCCACAGCGGGGCCCGGGGACAGCACCTGCACTTACACGCACCGCTGCTTCTGCAGGAAAACGCAGGAGCACTCACGCTGCACGGGATAAATAAAGATTACAAACAGTCTTGTCTCTTCAGGGCAAGTTTTAGCACCAAAGAGTTTTCAGGCCCAGTTTACAAACGAACAAACTAACCAACCCACCTTTGACTTTTAGAATACATTTAATTTTGGAGCTACTGATAAGGGAAGTGACTGTACCCCCCCACCTCATGGGGGGATGTGAGGACTGGATGCAGCCCGTACATAGGTCCAATTCTCTATGGATAGAGAGAAGGGACTTTTAGAAGGTTAGCTGTTGTTATTTCCAAAGTATGAATTCTGATCATGTCACTGGCTTTGAAATCTTTGATGGTTCCTCACTACCTGCAAACTAAAGTCCAATTTCTAAGAGTGGTGCACAAGAAAGGCCCTTCCAGAACTGAACACTAGGCCCTCCAGCTCTCAGGACTCTTTCCTGCCATGGCCACTCATATACCCTTTGCTCTGGTCACCTAGAAATAACTGTGGTCCTCTATTGCCTCCTGTTCCTTCCATCTGCCTGGCGCAGGGCTGTGCACCCTCCTTCCTTCACACAGCCCACTACTCTATCCAGTGACATCTCCTGAGGCTTTCCTTGAACCCTGGCCCTCAAGGACACACTTTCCTCTGTGTCTCCCCAACACCCTAGAAGCTGAGGGCACAGGGCCATCTCTTCACCAGTCTGTCCAGCCCTTTGGAAACAGATTTTGGTGTCACTGTCTTTCTACCCCACAGGTCCAGCCCACAGTGTCTAATAAATGCTTGTTTGATGAATAAGGGCGGTCAGTATTCTGTTTCCTTAATATGTTGGTTCTATCAGGTCAAGGGCCATAAAAATCAATGAATCAGAAATCAGGAGGGCAGGTGCTGTGACTTTTGATCCGTGTTGTATTCCCTGAGCCTGGCAATCAATAGGTACAGTATTCCAAATCTATAAACGAACGAATACATGAATGTATGAATGAGTGAATGATCGAAGAGTATGACACGTATCTATGACAATGTAAAGATGCACCACCACATCCAACAACAACAAAAACCCACAGCCACATGCTTTCATAAATCCCATAAAGTAAGGCACCTGCTCAAAAACGTCCTACCTTCAAGGAAGCTCCAAGGGCCTGAAACACAAATTAGAAACATAAGGCTCCAACCCTCACCTAGTCCGGTCATCAGTAAGGGCCCTGCTGTGCCCCAGTGAAAAAGTGAGCTGATCTAAGGCTCCCCCAGAACATTTCAGTCCCAGAGCAGCTAAGTAGTCACTTTCCATAAAACATTTATCAGCACTGCTCCTGGCCAGTAATCTCAAATATTCAGCAATTTACGCAACATGCATGAGTCACGGATATTTTACCAAATAAAATAGCTAAGTTTTATAAAATGTCTGCATCTAATTCATATCATGCAAATATCATTATTGTGTCCTTTGCCTTTTCTTTTCCACATTCCCTTCTTCTCCCTGTGGCTCATGCACCCCCTTCTCCCTTTCCCTTATTGCTTCTGCACACCAACACCCAGGTCCTTCCAGTCGCTCCCCACCTCCTTTGAGATCAGCTACATGCAAATGAACTGGAGAGACTATTGCCTGCTCACAATAAACAGACTCAAAAGCAAAATATATGGGGACTTCAGGTTTTCTGTTCCCACTGAGGACAGGCCGTCAATGGTACTTCGAAAGCTATGACTACAAAAGGCTGGACTGCACTGTCAGCTGAAAGGGGACAGCAAGTACCTTCCACCTTCCAGAGGCCTTTATGACTTTTGGAATATCACCATTTAAGATCACTCACTGTAGCAAGGAAACACAATTTCACTCAGCAAACATCAGTCATTTCCTCCAAATTCCCACGGTAAAGCCACAAACCTTTTAAACGTTTAGGGTTTTAAAAACACTAAAGTTTTAAAACAAATAATATCTCTTCCAATCACACAGCCTTGGGCAGACCAATGAGCTGCAAAGAGACGACTTTAGGTGCATAGAGACATGCTTTAGCGATGAGTTTAATTCTTTATGGCAAGTGATACTGGTTTTCCGTTAACGGTGGAAGATAATGTTTTCTTTGAAATAAAATAACCTAACCTTTTCAAAAATAAGTCTCTTTTACGAAAAAACAAAGCAAAACAACAACTATGTAGTAAATAAAAGTTCAGATGGTTCTAGCAGCTGTAAAAAAATAACCGATCTAGGCAGCCGGTGTTGGGCGAAGAGTTGTCAACCCCAGAGTAAAGCAGAAGTAAGAGAGAGAAAGCCCCCGGAGGTCTGTTGAGAGCCGGGAAGCCCTGGCGCCAGGACCCGCGCAGTGCTCCTGGCTCCAAGGCTTGGAACTGACCGCGGAGGGCCAAGCACCCCCACCCCCACCCCCACCCCACGGAGGTCGCGACGCTTTCGAGGAGCAAGCAAAACCCCACAAAGGAGAGCAGGGACGGGGTCCCGGGCTGGAAGGGGCGCGGTGGGACTGGGGTTGCCAGGCTGGAAGGGGCCAGGATCCCGAGCTAGACAGGCGCGCTGGGGGTCACTGACTGGAGGGGCTCAAGGGGGCGGGGGTCCCCCAGCTGGTGGGGCGGGTCCGGGGTCCCGGGCTGGAAGGGGTAGGATCCCGGGCTAGGGTGGCGCGGTGGGGGTTCCCGACTGAAGGGGCGCACTGGGACGGGGGTCCCCGGCTGGAAGGACGCAGTAGGACCGCGCGGCGGTCCGGGGGAGCGCGGCGGGACCAGGGTCCCGAGCTGGAGGGTGAAGGTCCCGGGCTGGAAGGGCGCGGCGAGATGCCCGGGGGCCCGAGGACGCCCCCCGCGGAGAGGGACGAGGCCGCCGCCCCCACCGCCCCCACGCCCCGTCGCCTGCGGGAGTACGGGCCACCCCCGGCGCACCACCCGCCAGCCCTACCTGTCCTCGCTGGCCGTGATGACGCCGTCCTCCTTGGGGATGAGCAGCGAGGCCGTGACGGCGTCCTGGTGCCCCTCGATCTTGCTCAGCAGCACCGGACGGCTGCTCTGCGGCCTGGAGTGGATCTCGGCCGCCATGTTCGCGCGGCGGCGGCGGCGGCGGCGGCCTCCCGGGCGGGCGGCCCATCAGCTGACGGCCGGGCGGGCGGGGACGCGCCGGTTCTGCTCCGGCTCCCGGGGCCGCGTGGGCGCCGCGCCGCCGTAAGCTCCCGAGTGCTGCCGCCCGCGCCCGTATTGCCTAGGGAAGCCGCACAGCGAAAAACTCCGAGCCCTGAGAAGGGTCGCAGAGCGCGTCTGCCGCGGACTGGAAAAGCGATAAAGGTTGAAAAGTGAAGGCATTCACCCAGAATGGATTGAGCCGTTGGAGGGGACGAGGAATGGTCCCCCAAACCAGAGCCTTCTGGAAGTACTAATACTACATTGTGTTTACTCTAAGAAGCCATTGTTTGGAAGACGTTCCAAGATGTTGGAAGTGTGAAAAAATACAGTGCAGTTTAGAATCTTTGAAAGACAGTGACACTCATTGAGTGGTGACTATATACAAGGCACTATCCCAGTTTCTTCACACGGATTGTCTTATTTAATGCTGATAACAACTTTAAGAGATGGAGAGATAAGTGCTTTTGTATTCTCATTGTAGAGATGAGAAAACTGGACCACAGAGAAGTTAAATCACTTGCTTAAGGTCGCACAGCTATTAGAAAGAGAAAAGTACTAGAACTCCGGGAGCTGGCTTGGTACTATGAGCCAGTCATCTGCGTTGCTGGGAGCTGGCCCGGTGCTCACAGCTGGTTCTTGCGGAACATAAACATTAGACAATGCCACTCCATAATCCTATATAAACACAGCAAAACATGAAATTGTTCAAGCCACAAAAATGAACAAACATCCCTCTATTCTGGCGAATAAAAGTGACTCCTCTTTCTTTACCAATTACAGCTTTAGCTTCTGCTTAGTTTTCCTCCCTTTAGACAAAATTAACATCTCCAATCATAGAATTATCCCCATTTCCTGACAGCATCCAGTCCAGTCCAGAGGAAAGCCCTTCTTCCCTAAACCCTCCCTAAAATCACCTAATACAAACCTAAATCCCGCAATAAGTTCTTTCAATCACCAATGCCCCATAGTTCCCATGATATGCCTTCTCCTGCCAATAAGCAACTAACCCAACATGTTCAACTATGAGTGTGTTCCTGGTGGCTTTTGGCTGGAACACATCAGTAGCTATTAAGTTAAAGGGTCATGATGGGGACCCAGAAAATCATTGACTCCAGAGAACTCCCCTCTCTAACCCACACTCCCCCTCCAACACACACTGTATTATTCTGACTCATTAATTGCAGAATTCCAATAGAGGATTTACTGTACACAGGGCTATCCAGCACTTAAAATGTGACTAGTCCAAATTGAGTTATGGTATGAGTGCAAAATACACACCAAATTTTAAAGACTTAGTCCAAAACAAAACAAAAAGATGTTTCATTAATAATTTTCATATTGATGGGGCGCCTGGGTGGCTCAGTTGGTTAAGCGACTGCCTTCGGCTCAGGTCATGATCCTGGAGTCCCAGGATCGAGTCCCGCATTGGGCTCCCTGCTCAGCAGGGAGCCTGCTTCTCCCTCTGACCCTCCTCCCTCTCATGCTCTCTCTCTATCATTCTCTCTCTCTCTCAATAATAAATAAATAAAAATCTTAAAAAAAATAATTTTCATATTGATTACATGTGGAAATGATAAAATTTAGATATACTGAGTTAGATATTTTAAAAATTAATGTTACCTGTTTCTCATTATTTTTTAATATAGATAATGAATTTTAAATTATGTAGATGTTTCACATAATCATTCGTGGGCTTTATTAAACAAACATGTATTATACACCCACTAAGGACCATATGCTGACAAGATGAATAAGACATGGTTCTTGCAAGGCTTTTACAGAGTGATGACTAGACAGGCCACTGAATGAGGTTTTCAAACAACAAATATTTACTGAGTGCCTGCTGTGAACCAGGCACCATTCTAAATGCAGCTATGCTCCAAAGACACAAAAATCGCTCATCCATTAGAACATATATTCCAGTGAAAGAACCAGATAATAAAATAAATAACTAAATTACATAGTATATTAGAAGGTGTTAAGTGCTGTGAAAAAAAAATAAGACCATGAAGGGCGATAGGGACGACAGAGGATATTGCAATTTTAAACAGGATGGTGTGGAAGATTTCAAGACGCACTACATAGATCCACCTTCATAGAAGGGAGGCGGTCAGCAGACAATCTTGGCTTTCAGCTCCTTCAGGGTCTGCTTCATCTGCAGAGAGCCACCATGGCTCAGCCATGCCGTTCATGGGGCAGCCCAAATTCGGTAACTAAATGAGAGAGGAATATAAAGGTCTGGCCGTGTCGGTCTGGTGCAGGACATGCTGATAGAGCTCTCTCCCAGATTGGATGAGGATTTGTCAGGCCTGTACTGCAGCTGACTTTTCCTGCCTACTCCTGTTACAGCTGCCTCTCTTCACAGCTGTGGATTCCTAATAAATATCCTGCACCCCAATCTCTGTCTCAGCATCTGCTTCCAGAGAATGCAGCCTGAGGGAAAGCCTCACAGAGAAGGTGACATTTGAGCCAAAAAGGAGAGTAGGCAGTAAGCCATGTAGAAGTATAGAGGAAGTCCTCTCTTGGAAAGGGAACTGCAAGTGCTAAGGCCCTGAGGTGAGAACCTGCCTGGGGTTTTCTAGGGCTGGCAGGGCAGCCACTGTGGCTGGAGCAGAGTGAGTGAGGAGTACAGAGAGATGAGGAAGAAGGGTCAGGAGACAGGCCATGTCGAGCCCTGAGGCCATGGTAAGGACTTTCGCTTTTACTTTAAATGAGATGGGAAGCCAGTGGAGGATTTTGAGGGCAGAAAACTTCCTTAATCTGCTTTCAGTCTTAAAAGGCAAGGGTGTCAGTTGGGACGCTAATAAAATAAGGCAGTTGAGAGATGATGATAGTTTAGCACAGAGTGCAGGTGGTGAGAAGGCAGCAGAGTCTAGACATTTCTGGAAGGTGGAGCCAATGAACTTTGTTGGATGTGGGTTATGAAAGAAAGAGAAGTCAGGATTTGTGGGATGACCAACTGGAGGAATGGAGCTGCCCTTTGACCAATCTGGGGAAGGTGTTTGGCCAAGAAAACAGGGAGTTTGGTTTTGGATGTATGAAGCTTGAAATGCCAGTAGATGTCCAGGTGCAGGAGTTTTGTATACACCACTAAAGAGCAGAAAGGCCTGTACTGAACACGTAACTTTGGGATTTGAAGGGACGTAAATGAAGTGCACCAGGCCACCCTGGGCACGGTCTGTTTTCTGGGCCTGGGTCCTAGAGCCACATAGTCCCCTTAGCATATGTTTATTGAAAATAAACAAATTCATGATTGAATTTTAAAAACTGGTTGATTCCTCAACTCTGTGAGTTAGTGGTAAAAACTCCCTGAGACCCTACATTTTTGGTTCCGTAAATAAGGTTCTCATTGTTGTATTTACTGAGAAACTCTCAATACAGAGACACCTCATTTTAACATAATATTGTTTGTTATTAGATTATTCCTCCCTATAAATGGACTAATGACAGTTCCTTGTGCTGTCTTCTAATATATTTATTTGATGAATGTTCAATGAATTTTTTTTAACAGGCAGTGTAAAATAATGAAACACAAAGGTCAATCATGATCTTCTCTCATCCCTTCTTAGAGAATTTGCTTCACCCAGAAATCCATCAGCTTGTTTTATGGTATGTGCTAAGCCTCCATTTCCTCTCTCCCTCTCCAAAGAGAACCCTTTTCTAGGCTTGGATGAACCATTCTGACAATAGTTAAGAACAGATTTTATTCAGGAACTATTGCAATAAGGGAAAAGAGACCTCTCTATAGAACTGAGCTCAATTCCAAATACAGCATGGACCAGGGGAAACTTATAGCCATGGGGGCTGGGAGGTGTCTGTGAACATTGAACTAAGTGGAAACATCACGGTAAGGGTGGGGGGCAGGAGTCTAGCTAAACCAACTTGACAGGATTCTTCTGAAGGCAGGCCACCTGGGGATAGTGGTGGGTGATGAATTTGATTAGATATTAAGGGTAATCAGATATTGAGGGTGGGGGATCCTTTCTAAACTGACTTAGGATTCTTGCTGAAAGTGGGCTATGCAGGCCTGACAGACACCAAAGCCTAAGGTCGAGCGTCTTTGAAACGAGGGCTTAGGGGAGCCTGACTCAAGTTTGGTCAAGGGGAAAATCTTTGCCAGAGCCTAACATTAGAGATGCTTGAGCTAAGTAGTAACATGCCTGAGTCTGCATTTCAGGGAAATGGATGAAGATGAACTGTGTCTGGGGAAGAGAGGAAGGTGCAACACGTGTTTGGAGGCCTGGCAAGGAGGTAAGGATTGCCATCAGGTAGCCGCTGTGGAAATAAATTGAAAAAGGACTTGGCACCTGGATAAAAGTGGGTTTTTGTGGAAATAGGAATAATTGAATACATAGGAGCCCAACTGGGTAACTGTGGGGGGACAATGATGCCATGAACAAATAGATCAACAGAGGTAACTTTTGGGGTCTAGATGTTCAGCATGCAACTCAAAACTGGAAATTCAGAGAAGTCTTCCTTTGTGAATTAATATTAGATCAAAACATTTATATTAACAGTTTGGTAGGAAAGTTTCCACTAAAGAGTGGAAGATAAAGGGGAAAAAAAGACTTATAATTCCACTGTTCTCATTTTGATGTATTTTTTTTTTCCAGTCTTTGCAGGGGCCGGGGGGGGGGGGGAGGTGCTTTAAAAAGTTTGTACTGTTAGAAATTTAAATTTTGGTTAAGTCAGTATCCCTTAGTCTAGGGCTCCTGAAAAGAAGGCTTCTGGAGACATGTCGGGTAAATATTTGCTCCTAAATAGTGGCTGGATTGATGTTCTGAAACTCTTAAGACTAAATACATACTGACAATAAGTGTTTTCTTTTTTTGAGACTTTTACGTGTTTACTTTAGACTGAGAGTGAAACAGGTCTTTGCGCTAATGAGAAAGCGAAGAACAAGAAAGCAACGGAGGGCGAAGCAACTTCTTCCACACACTTCCGGATCCCAAGGCCCCACAGTCCTGACTCACCCCAAAGTAAGCCCTGGGTGGGCAGGAACCAGAGCTCACGCATGCGCAG